TATTTTCAAAAAATAGGGTGCCAGGTCAAAAACATTTTTTTCATTTTTTGGACTTATAAGTCAACTTACGGACTTGTCCTTTTGGAACAATGTTCGGAACAACTAGAACAATCTATTGCGGTATCAGAATGTTCGATTTTCGAAAAGTGCCAGCTCAAAAATCATTTTTTTGTTTTATTCGAAAACCGTTTTGAATGAAGCAATATCACTTTGGAACAATGTGGTACAAAGTCAGAACAATCTGGAACAACTTTTAAAATTATAAATTTCAAAAAGTGGGGTGCCAACTTCATACACTCGTTAACCTATCGCCTAAAGAAAAGTATATTGTGCTCCAGTGTGAATACACACAGTGTTTTGAAATTCGTGAGATTAATTGATACAACATGTTTCTGAGCTCAAGTAGAGTCGAAATTCAAATGGAGACGAAGGATTTTGTCTCAAGCTTTTTAAGCTCCATGTGAACTTAGAAAGCCGTTGGATCAATTAAACCGCCTTACGCGAAACGATTGTTGTGTAGTTGTAAAGTCAGCGCTTAATAATTAATGAAGCATAAGGCCATGATTCGCGATATGATGTTTAATAGTAATTAAAGGAAAATCGTAGTGTTTCACATTGAAAATAAACTCACATCTCTGAGCTCATCCTCATGTTTGAGCACATTCTCGGCTACATACGTGGCAATTCAAACAGCAAACAGCAAACTCTGAGAAAAAAAGGAGAAAAGAAGTTTCTCTCTCTCTCTTTCTATTATGTCACACTTGCAGTGTATGTGAGTATCGCATATATCATTTCAGAGGCATTAGATTTAAAATCGAATTTCACGACAACAATAAAAAAGATAACAATAATTAAAAATTTATGATGACTTCTCTCAATGAAGGAAGATTATATCAGAAGAGCGGCACGCGGGAAATGTTCGAGCTTGTCTTTCTAAAGCTTCCCTTCTCTCTCTTTCCCTCTCATAAACACAAATGCATGAGCCATCCAATAAGGTGCCTAAATTGTTGAGAAAACGCGGCGAGCGCGTGATAACGCGCATCGTCATCAAAAACGCAGAGGTCAGGTTGACCACGAAGAGACGATGCGCATGCTGATAATTGGAATCGCCAGGAAGCGAATCTAGGCGTTTCTAAGCTGCCTTTTCTTCTGCTCATCGATAAAGGCAAGTCCGACGTACACACACATACACACACATACACACGTGTGGCACGTTCTGAAAACTGCTGGCACGTGCCCCGCGCTCTGCTTGTCGTATTTGCCTTTGATGCTGATGCAAGCATAACGATGCTCGTTTACACTCGCGCACGTAGTACGCGGCACAGATAACAACGCTATCGTGGCTGGCAAAAAGGTACGCGCGACAGAAGTACGCGCTGCCGATGACGACTATCGTGAATTTATGCATACGTCGGAGGTAGGTCACACTGTTTCCCATCTACCACCTGCGTTTCTTGATCGAAGATCAAATAGAATCAGACCGGATCTCGCATTCTTTCGAGACAGGATTATCTGCTATGTTTCGTGATGAGACTAGTTACTATCGTTAAATATGTACCAGTCGTCGCTATAGGTCATTATCAAAGACGAGAGTTGGCGGGTTATCAGTTTCGTGTCACGAGCGAAGCGAGCAGGTTCTCATGTACCACTTCTTCTTTTGATCGCGGATATCTGTATCGGATTGAACCGCAGTGTGTCGCATAATTTGTTGTCTGTCAGTTTAAACGGAACTACATCACGTATAACGGAGAATCGGTCTTGAGTTCGAGTGCGATTATGGTTTGTTTTTCTTTTTTTACTTTTTTAGTTTAATTTTCTTATCGATCGATCGTCGTTACAAAGTTCAATTTTTCTTACGCTACGTGGCATTGCATCCGTGACAATCTGTATACAAGCCGAGATATATGCTTTAATATCTGGCATAAAACTATTTATGATTTGTCAGTTATTCGTATCGTGTCGACATTTTTGTGAATTCTGACTATGATTGTTTAAAAAAGTAGTTCGACCGGTAGAAAATTCTCTTCTTTTCACCTATAAAATTACTTTCTTTAGTTTTACACGAGAAGTCGGCTACCTTTTATGATAGAGACATACAAATGCTGCCAAAACATCGGCAAAAGATAACAGAAAACTATGAGGATTATTTGTAGAGTGAATAAATAGTTTACTGATATTTAATTTTTAATAAAATTACATTACCTATTTTTCTATTATGGAATCCATCAAAATTTTTATACTCATCCAATACTTCGAAGACAAAGACTATGTTCCGGATTTCTTACTTAAATTGTTATGTATAGAGTCCGGGCCGTGCCGACGTGAGAGTGAAGATTCGATGTGCAATAATATATGAAAAATCAGAAGAAGGAGAATTTGGGTTTTTTTCATCATTGTTGTCACATGGCTTGTGACGTCAGGAACGAGAAGTTACGTGGGATTTAATCCCGCGCTGAATAGAAATTATATGTTGAAACAAATTCATATTTTTCTATGCCGCATCGCATTTGTGTTTGATAGTATAAACCGGTAAAATATACTCAATGTTCTCTTTTTAGGTTCGTATATTAATAAGTTTGTAAATTTTGATGAATCGTGCAGAAATTGTTTTTACTGGAAATGTAGGATATGTGTATATTAAATTATATGTACATTTATTAAGGCGGGGGATACTAAGGCAGCAGAAAAGATTTTTCACTGTGCTCTATCAATTTTTACTATCGAGCGCTACGACAATGGCAGGTATCGATGAGCATTCCGCCGACGCGAACACGCTTCTAATATTCACGCGAACTCGTCCAGCAGTCTCGTGTCGAAAGAGGGTTCGAAGGTCGGCTCGATAATGACTAATGGGACGATGTTCATGTCCCGTCGATGCAATAAATACGTTCGACAGGAGAAATGTGCAGACGTTTCGTGTTTCGCGTGTCGTGCGTCCAGCTAATCGCGCTCCGAATTCCGCTATGAGAGACTTGAACAAGAAACCCAGTTTCCAGAGTGTGTTTGCGCCCGGAAAGTTCGAATCGCAGCTGATGGACGTCGATCACACGCCAACACCGATGGTCGATGTAACTATTATTGTTAATTCGCGCTTTAATCTTTAACGTTAATCTCGCGTAGTGTTAAACAATACCTCTTTTGACTCTCAACGACGAGAATAATCTCTGATAGCAAAGAAACGAAAGTACAATCCACGCAAGTGAATATCAAGTATTCAAAATATGCGAATCGCATGGTATAAGAAAACAGTGCAAAAGTTATCTCGATCAGGAATATGAAATAAATATAAAAAATACAAGAGATATAACAATTGTAAGAAATACAAAAGTAAACTTACAAAAAAAAACTCTACCAATAGTTCTCATAATTATACAGCTGAATGCTTTCGTAAAATATTCCGTTAGATTTAAAATATCTCAACACTTACATGTTTCATTATCAAACAATGTATATTAGACAATCGACTGTCAATGTAGAACATTCATGTCGACAGTCACACAGATAGTCACATTCCATCGTATGGCGATTAAAATTTTTTATATGAATCTTATAATTTTCAGCTAATAATTTTATAACTTCGTATCTTAACGTCTCGTAGAAAGAAAATTGTGATTAAATAATTAGTTTAAAATCGAGTGAGACAAATTGTGGTTGTTGCATGCACTTTTGGTATTGTAGGATGAAGGAATGGAACTGATCGACCCTTTCTGCATGAAGGATAAGCCGCAAAAAGTTAGGTTTGAGGACATCATGTTGGCAGCGATCAAGATAAAATCCGGAATTATCAGAACACCATGTGTGGTAAGAATATTTAAGTTTCAATTCTTTGCTCATACAGTTCAGTGCAGTCGACAAATTTAACCTTAAGCTATGCAAAAAAAGAAAAATAAAAAACTCAAAATCACACGATGGAATCCAATATGGGTTTCTATGATCATTAAATCCTAGGATTAAGACTAGTTAAATTATTTAGAAATCACGCTTGTCGGACACCGGTATGGACCTTTACATGAAGAAAGACTTCCTTCAAATTACCGGTAGTTTCAAGGAACGCGGTGCCCGAAATGCTCTGCTGTACCTCAACGACGAGCAGAAGCGTACAGGTGTGATATCGGCCTCCTTGGGCAATCACGCCCTGGCTCTTTGCTATCACGGAAAAGAGTTGCAGATACCTGTGACGGTGGTGATGCCGGTGGTAGCTCCGATAATGAAGATTACGGCGTGTCGGCAGTACGGTGCGAACGTGATTGTCGATGGCAACGACATGGGAGAGGCCAAGAAAATCGCTTTGACACAGGCAAAGGAGAAGGGCTTAGTCTATATCAATGGGTGAGTAAATAATACCTCTAAAAGAGCAAGTAATAGTGTCTATCTAACTAATACCTTATAAATAAGTAAAAAATATTTTTAACGAATTCTCTTTTCCTATTTTTGCCTACGATAAATTCAATTTGAATTTATCCGCAAAAATTAGCGGCTCTTTTTAGGAAAGGTCTGAATACCATGCCCGGCAGTTTTTATAAACTTTAGATATAATGTCGAGCAACCAAAAGAAAAATATTTATTTTTTTTTTATAAGTGTCTTCTTGTACGATTTGAGAGTTGAAACAATCTCGCGGAGCTCATTTCATATATCTGATAATGAATATATAGATAATAGGATTATATTTCTTAAAAAAATTCTTAAAAATAATATTCGACTTATTGTTTAATATTTTAAAACTCTATTATTGTTATACATTGTATTTCTTGTGTTCTTACCGATAAATGATAATATCTACTTATTTTGTGCTTCATATATAGTATATGTCTGTACTAGAAATAGGACATCGAACAGAAATAATCGATTATAAGCTATAACCGGTATCGGTATCGCTCTAGTCTGTACATATTTGTTACATTATATTACGTCAAAATTTATTCGAATTACCTATTCTATTCAAAAACAAATATTTTTGTTTCTGTCCTTTGTATCGGTTACATTTTAAATTGACAACAGAAACCGACCAAGAGACACTCAGGAACATATAAACATTTTATTATTGTCCTTCGAACAATCGTTGCAAGAACATCCATACAACGAGATTGAAAGAATCTTATTATTGAGATTCAGTTCGCGGATTTCTCACATTATTTCTTGTGATATTATATAGAAAGTACTCAGAAACTTCATCGAACGGTCGCATCGATATGAACCCAAACACACAAGTATTTAAATATAATGGAGCACGAAGAGCTGAATATTATAATCAATTTTTCAATCCAAATATTTGTCATGTCTGCAAAGCAGTAGACCAAGGTAATTTGATACTATGTGATGAGTGCTGCTTGATTTCTTATTGCAACAACAATCATAAAATGCTACACTACAAAGAACACGCGCATATTTGCAAAATTGTAGCACAGATTTTGGAAATAAAACCGCAAAATGACACGCGCAGATACGGCAGCTGGCAAATATGGTTCGTAAAAAGAAAAATTATTATGGAATCAGCTGAAGAGACTTTTGGCAGTTCAATAGAGATGTACGTGAAACAGATGATCATGTGGTCAAAAACATGCGCTATTTGTTATCAACAGGCCGAACTACGAGCTTGTCAAAAATGCTTTTCCGCTAATTTTTGCAATGAACACGCAGAAGCTTTTCGCAAGAAACATGATGGAAACACGTGCGAACTATTGACGCGTTTGCTGAATATAAATATCGAAACTATTTCTGGCACAATGACTGATATATCGTATGAATTTCTTTCGAGGGTAAAACGAGATACACGTGTAAACGAGATGCTCGAATTTTACATGGAATGTGTATTAATATCAAGAGACGATGTAAATTGGCTTGCAAAGGATTATGTCTTGTCTGATTACCTTTCAGGACCATTATCAATTTACTATGAATTCGAAAAGATATATAGCAATAAGATTTGTAATGTTTTACACCAACAATTTGTTCTTATTCATATTATAGCCGCAAACTCTGTGGATAGACATAGTTTACCGGCTTGGGAAGTTTTGTTACACCTTGTACCGGAAATGCTTGAACTAAGAATTATAATGATAGGACCAGAATTACAGACGGAAAATTATGAACATAATATTTGTAATGATTGCCAAAACGTAGGAAAAAGAATGACATTTTATCCTATTTGTATGTTATACCATGATTATATACAAACAATTAAAAGTTATCAGATACCAGATTTGATCGTAGGATTTGAAGCGAAACTTGATGAGTCGCAGACATGGTCCGAATCTATAAAAGTAATACGGAATTGCGATTGTCCATTAATTTTAGGCGCTACATGCCAAGAGAAAGCGGATAATAACATGATTGCTATTGAAAATATCCTAAATATAAAGTTAGAACCTATTCTTAATCACAAAAATTATTTCGCTGGTCTTGCACCACACAAAGACTTAATGTCTGGTATTATACGTTTTCGTAATCAATATTTACTTATGTACACTAATTTAGAAAATTTTGACAATATTGATGATGATGATGATGATAATGATGATGCACAAATGGGCCCTCTCCCGGGCCATCTCCCGGCTCTGGAAGGCAGCAGCTCATCGTAAAGAGGATATGAATTAAAATGTTGGTTATTGTAAATTATTTATAAATATTTCAAATAAAGATTATACTTCCTAAATGACAGTTACATTATTTTTTACTGGAAAATTAAAAATTATAATTTAATTTTTCGTCGAGCACCGGTAAGATTTATTTATCGTAAGTGCTTCGAATATTACAGATCACACAAGAAGGCATTTGAATATCAATTTTAATGAATATATAACATTACTTCCCGCTGTACATTTCAAATCTTTTTGTTCGCGATATTCTTCTTGTTATCGGATATTCGATATTTGTTACGTATCCAATTAAAATTCGAATCGTCAAGAATTTCTGGGAAACGCAGAGATATTTGTAAACACTCGATCAGTATATCCTTCTCATGAGTAAAGTATTTAATGCACATATTAATGTACACACACACACACACACACACACTCATATATATAACCACATAGTGATATATGACAGTCATATAATAACATTTATGTAGGCAGTGATAATTAATTAAAGTAACGCATTAAGTAGCCAAATATTTTTGAAATATCTTTCTCGCAATTTTTTAAGGTTTATTCGCTTACAACGATTATTAGATATATGGAGCTAAATTTTAGAGGTAAGTACTTACTAGTAAACATATAAGAAAACACTTGTAGAGATGTACATATCTTGTATTTTTATTTTTTTATAATGTATCCAAAACGTTTATTAAAATCAGGGAGAGACATTTTTTTTAGACTTTCTCTTGCAAGGAAGGTGATCGTTATAATTATAATTATAGCGATAATTATCGGTCGATCAGTATTTTTCTTTATTTTGGTGAATTTTCATCTCATAATTGACGATAATTGTAAGACGCTTTTCTCTTTAGTGTTTCTTTTTGTTTTAAATAGATATGATCATCCACATATTATAGCTGGTCAAGGAACTCTCGGCTTAGAGATCGTCGAGCAAGTGCCAGACATCGACGCTGTAGTGGTTCCCGTCGGTGGCGCTGGATTAATAGCGGGTGTTGCGATAGCTGTTAAAACAATTCATCCGAATTGCATGATTATTGTAAGTCCATGGTTTTGTTCTCCTTCTTCTTCTTGATTATGAATTTACTATATTAAGTCGCTTTTTCGTGTCAAACTCGAGTATTTCAAGGAACGATTCTTGTTGCCTGAAATGAATACATTAGTAATGAACGTTCTTGAACTTTAGGGGGTCGAGTCGGAAAGGTGCGCGAGTTATTACGCGGCGCGCGAAGCCGGTAAACCAACGTACACCCCCATACAGTCTACTCTCGCCGATGGATTGGCCGTTCCCATGGTGGGATATAATGCGTTTGCCACCGTGGATTCGTTGATCGATAAAATGGTCATAGTAAAAGAAGAATGGATTGCGATCGCGATCTTGAAGCTGGTCGAGAACGAGAAATGCGTTGTCGAGGGAGCAGGAGCGACAGGTTTAGCAGCGGTCTTGGCTGGTCAGCTCGACGAACTCAAGGGAAAAAAGTGAGTTGAAAAAGGTGACTTTCAATGTCACTTTCTTCGAGATCGTTTCATTAGTAATTGGTGTTGTAAATTAATTAGAATGATGTGATCGCGAATTAAGTTACACGAGTATTCGATTTTTAAGTAACGTGTGAGTTTTCGCCTCTGCGAATACTCACACGTTTGTGAGTGAAGATTTTCATCTGATTAAGAATAATTTTGCTAAATATTTAGATGAATATCGAAAACAAGAAAATATTTCGCTATCATGACATAACGAGAATTTGTGTCAGGTGAGATTCACACGTTAATTCAGCGTGACGGTTAACATACACGCACGCACACACACACACACATATATGTCAAATAAATTGTATATGTGTAATTTATACGTGGAATCTTTTTTGGAAATTACTCTCTTCAAATTTAATTAGTTTATTTAAAGAAAAAACATAATATTTGTTACGTCCCGTAAGGCCTCACGTATCTTGCGTAAAGATTGATTATTTATCCGATCGGGTAATAAAAGTTAAGTACACAAAAGGAACACGTAGATCTCGAGTCTTACGAAAGAATAATGAATCATACCAGCTACAATTACGCATGTCCATATATAGCCTGATCGAATATTTCCCGAATTACTATTTTTTTCCCACCAATCCGAGCCTCCTTCTTGTTACTAAGCAAGATATTTCCAACGAATCCGGTAACCGCCATCCCCGAAATTTCCCATTTTCCGAAACTATAAAAAGTCCGATCCGTATGACTTCGACGCGTACTGTCATTACGATGTCCAGGAGTATTACTTCTGTATGCATTAGTTCATTATCATTACGACGTCTATAGCTACCACTACGAGTATCACTTCTGTAATTATTATCATTACTACCTACTACGACTATCATCTCAAGAATCAGAATCGAAGGAAGCAACTATCTCAGGAGATCCAGAACCATCCATTTCTCTCCTCGTACACACTAACAGTAAGTGTTTTACTAACTGTAACTGTTTTAATATCCGGTTTTCCGTGTCTCAGTTTCAAATAACTCCGGACAGACATATCTTTACTTCGTCGAAAACTCAATTGCAATAATTCCGGTGGACATTAATTATCGTCCAGAATTCTGAAATCGGTATGTCCTCCAATAATCCTGAACACTAACGCTCATCCTCACCCGTTACACTCTCACACATACTCATACACACACACACTAGCACATTGTAAATATAAATAAATCGTATGTAATTTTCTTTTATAAAGAAATATTAATTTCTTTTGTTTGCCCGTCCTCACCTATTATCGCTCAAGGTCCAGTCCCGAGTAAAGAGATTCAGTTCTCTGACATAAAATCGGACCGCTCGCCGTACGTCGTCGGGCTAGTAAAGTGATCCTTCTGGTCGTTCACTAGCTCTTCGACCTATAAGTACAGGTGAGGCTTTCTTTATGTTGCGTTCTCCTACAGGACGTAACATATTGAAACATAATGATATATATATAGGTCAATGTAATTATTTGTTTTTGGGAAATAAATATCTCCCAAAATTGAAAGCGCAGCGCGCAACGTTGGATTTGTAATTGGCGATGTAATATTGTAATTCTGCTTATCAGAGTGGCGTTACTATTGTGCGGCGGCAACATCGACACGACCGTTTTGGGCAGGTGCCTGGAGCGTGGATTAGCAACAGAGGGCCGCCTCTTGAAATTCACGGTGACAGTCTCGGACCGTCCAGGTGGTATTGCTGAGCTCTGCAGGACACTGGCGAGTATCGGCGTCTCTATAAAGGACATCATGCATGAGCGGGCTTGGATAATGTCCGACATATTTAGCGTAGATGTTAAGGTTGTCTGCGAGACCAGGAATCGGGAGCACGCCGAACAACTCAAGAACCTACTCCATCAGAATTATTACAAAGTCGTTTTCGGCAGCGATAATACCTGTACGCTGTCGTCAAATATGAATAGTAAACAGGAATTGAAATAAATAAAGATATTTTCCAGTGGGTGTTTTGCGTCGGGCGTTATCGTCGATTGAATCTTTTAAGATTCTATAATTTTTAATTATGATATCTTTTCGTAGGATACCTTGTATCAGATATTTTAACACAAATGATTAAAACAGAATATCTCGCATAATACGAGTTACATTCAGCCATTAGTGACTATGTGGACGAATAATTTACGTAAGATGCATGTTAAAATTCAGTAGTAAAAATCTTTTTTAGGATACTTTATCTTCTCGTCGCCAGCTGCCAATTTTTCATCTTGTAAATAAAGATATTTAATCGTTAAGTGGTTAAATACGTTTTAACATGCAGCATGATAAAAAGTTAGCGATTTCGAAGACAAATTTTCAATAGCAGTTTAAACTTGGATTCAAGTTTAAACTCTATTCTAATAATAAGTTTTGTTTAAATAGGGTTTATGTTGAAGCCTAAGTTTAAATTATCATAGAAAAATTCATTTAAAAGCATTTTCGGTCCTCGAAAATGCTTTCTCTTTTCATTTTTCTCTATTAACCTTAAATATATCTAATATGCATGTTCTTGAAGTCGAGTGTCGTCTCTTGTTTCAAATACATGTCCGTCTTTGAAAAACGATGGATGATTGGCGTGATTCACAAGTGCACAAGACATTTGATTCAAATGAACTTGTTTTCCTTTTGACACTCAAGTCGGAAAGACATGTGGCTAAGAGACGACACTCGACTTTAAGAACATGAGTATTAGACGTATTTAACGTTAATAGAGAAAAATGAGAAGATACTTCGAAGTAGAATAAACATAAAAAGTTGAATTTGATTAAGTAAGTAGAAATTGGTCTTCAACACTTTCCTATTTTGTCTTACCGTTAACATTTCCCTGTTTCAACATTAACGCAACTGATTTGCAGATTATTGCTAAGGAAAGTTGACGATAATTGTAGAAACAAGTTAGATGTATATAACGTGTTATAAATTGGGTAATATCAAAACACGTTATTTGAATCGAAAAATGTTATTTAACATTTGTTACGATTTGTTGTCACGATTAATTTGAAAACCCTCGTTTGCATGTAGACTACGCTATATTTTTATATGATAGTCTAGAAACAGATTTCGAGTTTATATAGATATAGAAAGGAAGAAAGAAAAATTTATTGCTGTTAATGTACGTGACGCTTGTCTCTTGAAGGAAATCGGTGTGGCATACATATGTGACGGTCATAGCAAGCGTGTTGATTAATTTATTAGAGTACTAGGAAATACCGTATATACATGTGACTTCGCCAATGGTCAAGCGCGGCTGTGAGAAACTTTCACATACCGTTCATTTTTTCTATGTTTTACTAGCAGTTGTTGTAATTATGGTTTGCAACGTCTGTTAGGGAACGTGAAATAACGCGAAACGATTGTCTGGCTGTTCTTAATAAATCTCAAATCGTGACTATCAAATCACACGATTGAATCCAATATGGGTTTTTATGATCATTAGAACCTAGGATTAAGATTAGTTAAATTATTTAGACATTACGCCTGTCGGTATGGGCCTTTACATTAAGAAAGACTTTCTTCAAATTACAGTAGTTTCAAGGAATATGGTACCTGAAACGCTCTACTGCACATCAACGACGAGCAGAAGCGTACAGGTGTAATATCGGTCTCCTTGGGCAATCACGCTCTGGTTCGATGCTATCACAGAAAAGAATTGCAGATACCTGTGACGGTGGTGATGTCGGTGATAGCTCCGATAATGAAGATTACGGCGTGTCGGCAGTACGGTCGGCGGTGCGAACATGATTGTCAATGGCAACGACATGGGAGAGGCAATCGCTTTGACACAGGCAAAGGAGAAGGGTTTAGTCTATATCAATGGATGAGTAAATAATACCTCTAAAAGAGCAAGTAATAGTGTCTATCTAACTTATAACTTAAAAATATTTTTCATGAATTCTCTTTTCCTGTTTCTGACTACGATAAATTAAATTTGAATCCACAAAAATTAGCGGCTCTATTCAGGACACGATGCTCGGCAGTTTATATAAAATTTAGATATAATGTCGAGCAGCTAAAAGTGAGAAAAATATATATTTTTTTTTATAAGTGTTTTCTTATACAATTTGAGGGTGGAAGCAATCTCGCGGAGCTCATTTCATATATCTGATAATGAATATAAAGATAATGAGAATATATTTCTTTAAAAAAATCTTAAAAATAATATTTGACTTATTGTTTAATATTTTAAATCTCTCTTATTGTTATACATTGTGTTTCTTGTGTTCCTGTCGGTAAATGGTAATATCTACTCATTTTATGCTTCATATATAGTATATATCTGTACTAGAGATGGGACATCGAACAGAAATATTTGATTATAAGCTATAATCGGTATCGGTATCGCTCATCTCTAGTCTGTACAAATTTGTTACATTATATTACGTGTTTCTCTATATGTTCAAAATTTATTCGAATTACCTATTCTATTTGAAAACAAATATTTTTGTTTTTGTCCCTTGTATCGGTTACATTTTAAATTGACAAGAGAAATCGACCAAGAGACACTCAGGAACATATAAACATTTTATTATTGTCCTTCGAACAATCGTTGCAAGAACATCCATACAACGAGAATTGAAAGAATCTTATTATTGAGATTCAGTTCACGGATTTCTCACATTATTTCTTGTGATATTATACAGAAACTACTCAGAAACTTCATCGAACGGTCGCATCGATATGAACCCAAACACACAAGTATTTAAATATAATGGAGCACGAAGAGCTGAATATTATAATCAATTTTTCAATCCAAATATTTGTCATGTCTGCAAAGCAGTAGACCAAGGTAATTTGATACTATGTGATGAGTGCTGCTTGATTTCTTATTGCAACAACAATCATAAAATGCTACACTACAAAGAACACGCGCATATTTGCAAAATTGTAGCACAGATTTTGGAAATAAAACCGCAAAATGACACTCGCAGATACGACAGCTGGCAAATATGGTTCGTAAAAAGAAAAATTATTATGGCATCAGCCGAAGAGACTTTTGGCAGTCCAATAGAGATGTACGTGAAACAGATGATCATGTGGTCAAAAACATGCGCTATTTGTTATCAACAGGCCGAACTACGAGCTTGTCAAAAATGCTTTTCCGCTAATTTTTGCAATGAACACGCAGAAGCTTTTCGCAAGAAACATGATGGATACACGTGCGAACTATTGACGCGTTTGCTGAATATAAATATCGAAACTATTTCTGGCACAATGACTGATATATCGTATGAATTTCTTTCGAGGGTAAAACGAGGTACACGTGTAAAGGAGATGCTCGAATTTTACATGGAATGTGTATTAATATCAAGAGACGATGTAAATTGGCTTGCAAAGGATTATGTCTTGTCTGATTACCTTTCAGGACCATTGTCAATTTACTATGAATTCGAAAAGATATATAGCAATAAGACTTGTAATGTTTTACATCAGCAATTTGTTCTTATTCATATTATAGCCGCAAACTCTGTGGATAGACATAGTTTACCGGCTTGGGAAGTTTTGTTACACCTTATATCGGAAATGCGTGAACTAAGAATTATAATGATAGGACCAGAATTACATACGGAAAATTATGGTCATAATATTTGTAATGACTGCCAAAAGAATGGAAAAAAAATAAAATTTTATCTTATTCGTATGTTATATCATGATTATGTACAAACGAATAAAAGTTATCAGATACCAGATTTAATCGTAGGATTTGAGGCGAAACTTGATAAAACACAGACATGGTCCGAATCTATAAAAGTAATACGGAATTGCGTTTGTCCATTAATTTTAGGCGCAAAATGCCAAGAGGAAGTTAATAATGACATGATTGCTATTGAAAATGCACTAAATATAACTGTAGAACCTATTGTTAACAAAAATTATTTCGCTGGTCTTGCACCACACAAAGACTTACTGTCTGGTATTATACGTTTTCGTAATCAATATTTAAGTACATACAAAAATTTAGTAGGTTTAGACAGTAGTGATGATAATGATCTTGAACAAAAGCTATTAATTCCCGGTCCTAGCTGCTAGGGCCAGCAGTTCATTGTAAAAAGGATATGAATTAAAATGTTTGTAATTGTAAATTAATTATAAATTTCTCAAATAAACATTATACTTCCTTAATGACTGTTACATTGCTTTTAATGGAAAATTAAAAATTATAATTTAATTCTTCGTCGAGCATCAGTAAGATTTATTTACCGTAAGTGCTTCGAATATTAAAGGTCACACAAGATGGCATTTGAATATCAATTTTAAAGAATATATAACATTACTTTCCGCTATACATTTCGGATCTTTTTGTTCGCCATATTCTTCTTGTTATCGGATATTCGATATTTGTTACGTATTCAATTACAATCCGAGTCGTCAAGAATTTCTGAGAAGCGCAGAGACATTTGTAAATACTCGATCAGTATTTCCCTCTCATGAGTAAAGTATTTAATGCTCATATTAATGTACACACACACACACCCATATATATATATATATATATATATATATATATATATATATATATATTATGTAACCATATAGTGATGTATGACAGTTATATAATAACATTTATGTAGGTAGTGATAATTAATTAAAGTAACGCATTAAATAGCCCAACATATTTGAAATATCTTTCTATATATCTCGCAATTTTTTAAGGTTTATTCGCTTACAACGACTATTAGATATATGGAGCTAAATTTAAAGGGTAAGTACTAACTAGTAAACATGTAAGAAAACACTTGTAGAGATGTATATATCTTGTATTTTTATTTTTTTATAATATACCCCAAACGTTTCTTAATATCAGGGAGAAACATTTTTTTTAGACTCTCTTTTGCTAGGAAGGTGATCGTTATAATTATAATTATGATTATAGCGATAATTAACAGACGATCAGTATTTTTCTTTATTTTGGTGAACTTTCGTGTCAAAATTGACGATAATTGTATGACGTTTTTCTCTTTAGTGTTTCTTTCTGTTTTAATTAGATATGATCATTCACATATTATAGCTGGTTAAGGAACTCTCGGCTTAGAGATCGTCGAGCAAGTGCCAGACATCGACGCCGTAGTGGTTCCCGTCGGTGGCGCTGGATTAATAGCAGGTGTTGCGATATCTGTTAAAACAGTTCATCCGAATTGCATGATTATGGTAAGTCCATGGTTTTGTTCTCCAACTTCTTGATTATCGGTTTATTATATTAGGTCGCTTTTTCGTTCGTGCCACGTGTCAAACTCGAGTATTTTAAGGAATGATTCTTGTTGTCTGAGATGAATACATTAGTAACGAACATTTTTGAACTTTAAAAGGTCGAATCGGAAAGGTGCGCGAGTTATTATGCGACGCGCGAAGCCGGTAAACCAACCTACAGCCACATATAGTCTACTTTCGTCGATGGATTGGCCGGTCCCATGGTGTGATATAATGCGTTTGCTACCATGGATTCGTTGATCGATTAAATGGTCATAGTAAAAGAAGAATGGATTGCGATCGCGATCTTGAAGTTGGTCGAGAACGAGAAATGCGTTGTCGAGGGAGCAGGAGCGATAGGTTTAGCAGCGGTATTGGCTGGTCAGCTTGACGAACTCAAGGGAAAGAAGTGAGTTGAAAAAGGTGACTTTCAATGTCACTTTCTTCAAGATCGTTTCATTAGTAATTGATGTTGTAAATTAATTAGAATGATGCGATCGCGCATTAAGTTATACGAGTACTCGATTTTTAAGTAACTCGTGAGTTTTCGCCGAGACGAAATCTCACACGTTTGTGTGTGAGGCTTTCATCTGATTAAGAATAATTTTGCTAAATATTTAGATGAATATCGAAAACAAGAAAATATTTCGCTATCATGACATAACGAGAATTTGTGTCAAGTGAGATTCACACGTTAATTCAGTGTGACAGTTAACACACACACACACACACACAAACACACACACTCTCAAAGCCACAAACACTTATATGTATATATATGTGTCAAGTAAAATGCATATGTGTAATTTATACGTGGAAACTTTTTGGAAATTATTCTCTTCAAATTTAATAAGTTTCTTTAAAGAAGAACATAATATGGAGACATGATATATATAGGTCAATGTAATTATTTGTTTTTGAGAAACAAATATCTCCCAAAATTGAAAGCGCAGCGTGCAACGTTGGATTTGTAATTGGCAATGTAATATTGTAATTCTGTTTATCAGAGTGACGTTACTATTGTACAGCGACAACATCGATACAACCGTTTTGGGCAGGTGCCTGGAGCGTGGATTAGCAATAGAGGGCCGCCTCTTGAAATTCACGGTGACAGTCTTGGATCGTCCAGGTGGTATTGCTGAGATCTGCAGGACTCTGGCGGGTGTCGTCGTCTCCATAAAGGACATCATGCATGAGAGGGCTTAGGTAATGTGCGACATATTTAGCGTGGATTTGAAGGTTGTCTGCGAGACCAGGAATCGGGAGCACGTCGAACATCTCAAGAATCTACTCCATCAGAATTATTACAAAGTCGTTTTTGGCAGCGATAATACCTGTACGCTGTCGTCAAATATGAATAGTAATCAGGAATTGAAATAAATAAAGATATTTTCCAATGAGTGCTTTGTGCCGGGCGTTATCTTCGACTGATTCTTTTAAGATTCTATAATTTTTAATTATGATATATTTTCGTAGGATACCTTGTATCACGCAGATATTTTAACACAAATGATTTAAACAGAACATCTCGCATAATACGAGTTACATTCAGTCATTAGTGATTATGTGGACAAATAATTTACGTAAGATGCATGTTAAAATTCAGCAGTAAAAGACTTTTTAGGATACTTTATCCTTTCGTCGCTAGCTGCTAATTTTTCATCTTGTAAATAAAGATATTTAATCGTTAAGTGATTAAGTACGTTTTAACATGCATAATGATAAAAAGGTAGCGCTCTCGAAGACAACTTTTCAATAGCAGTTTAAACTTGGATTCAAGTTTAAACTCTATTCTAATAATGAGTTTATTTTGTTTAAATAGAGTTTAAGTTGATGCCTAAGTTTAAATTATCATTGAAAAATCGGTCCTCAAAAATGCTTTCTCTTTTCATTTTTCTCTATTAACCTTAAATATATCTAATATGCATGTTCTTGAAGTCGAGTGTCGTCTCTTGCTTCAAATTCATGTCCGTCTTTGAAAAACGAAAGATGATTGGCGTGAATCACAAGTGCGCAAGACATTTGATTCAAATGAACTTGTTTTCCTTTTGACACTCAAGTCGGAAATACATGTGGCTAAGAGACGACACTCGACTTTAAGAACATGAGTATTAGACGTATTTAACGTTAATAGAGAAAAATGAGAAGATACTTCGAAGTAGAATAAACATAAAAAGTTGAATTTGATTAAGTAAGTAGAAATTGGTCTTCAACACTTTCCTATCTTGTCTTACCGTTATCATTCCTCCGTTTCAACTTTAACGAAAATGTTTTGCAGATTATAGCTTAGGGAAAGTTGATTGTAGAAACGAGTTATATGTATATAACGTGTTGTAAATTGTGTAATATCAAAACACGTTATTTTAATCGAAAAATGTTATTTTACTCTTGTTAATATTTGTTGTCACGATTAATTTAAAAACCCTCGTTTGCATGTAGACTACGCTATATTTTTATACGATAGTCTAGAAACAGATTTCGAGTTTATGTAGATATAGAAAGAAAGGAAGAAAAATTTATTGCTGTTAATGTACGTGACGCTTGTCTCTTGAAGGAAATCGGTGTGTCATACATATGTGATGCTCATAGCAAGCGTGTTGATTAATTTAAGTTATTAGAGTACTAGGAGATACCGTATATACATGTGACTTCTCCAATGGTCAAGCGCGTCTGTGAGAAACCTTCATATACCGTTCCTTTATTCTATGTTTTACTAGCAGTTGTCGTACTAATTCTGGTTTGCAACGTCTGTCAGGGAACGTGAAGTGACGCGAAACGATTGTCCGGCTGTTCTTAATAAATCTCAAATCGTGAATATCAAATCACACGATTGATTCCAATATGGGAATCATTAGAACCTAGGATTAAGATTAGTTAAATTATTTAGACATTACGCCTGTCGGTATCGACCTTTACATTAAGAAAGACTTCCTTCAAATTACAGTAGTTTCAAGGAATATGGTACCTGAAAGGCTCTACTCAACCTCAACGACGAGCAGAAACGTACAAGTGTGATATCGGTCTCCTTGGGCATTCACGCCCTGGTTCGTTCCTATCACAGAAAAGAGTTGCAGATAACTGTGACGGTGGTGACGTCGGTGGTAGCTCCGATAATGAAGATTACGGCGTGTCGGCACTATGGTGCGAACATGATTGTCAATGGCAACGACATGGGAGAGGCCAAGACAATCGCTTTGACACAGGCAAAGGAGAAGGGTTTGGTCTATATCAATGGATGAGTAAATAATACCTCTAAAAGAGCAAGTAATAGTCTATCTAATTTGTAACTTAAAAATATTTTTCATAAATTTTCTTTCCCTATTTCTGACTACGATAAATTCAATTTGAATCCGCAAAAATTAGCGGCTCCATTCAGGACACGATGCTGAGCAGTTTATATAAAATTTAGATATAATGTCGAGCAGATAAAAGTGAGAAAAATATATATATTTTTTTATAAGTGTTTTCTTATACGATTTGAGGGTGGAAGTAATCTCGCGGAGCTCATTTCATATATCTGATAATAAATATAAAGATAATGAGAATATATTTCTTTAAAAAAATCTTAAAAATAATATTCGACTTATTGTTTAATATTTTAAATCTCTCTTATTGTTATACATTGTGTTTCTTGTGTTCCTGCCGGTAAATGTAATATCTACTCATTTTATGCTTCATATATAGTATATATCTGTACTAAAGATGGAACATCGAACAGAAATAATCGATTATAAGCTATAATCGGTATCGATATCGCTCATGTCTAGTCTGAAAATATTTGTTACATTATATTACGTGTTTCTCTATATGTTCAAAATTCATTTGAATTACCTATTCTGTTACCTATTCTATTACCTATTCTAAAAACAAATATTTTTGTTTCTGTCTCTTGTATTGGTTACATTTTAATTTGACAACAGAAACCGACCAAGAGACACTCAAGAACATATAAACATTTTATTATTGTCCTTCGAACAATCGTTGCAAGAACATCCATACAACGAGAATTGAAAGAATCTTATTATTGAGATTCAGTTCACGCATGTTTCGCATTATTTCTTGTGATATTATATAGAAATTACTCAGCAACTTCATCAAACGGTCGCATCGATATGAACTCAAACACACAAGTATTTGAGTATCATGGAGCACGGAGAGCTGAATATTATAATCAGTTTTTCAATCCAAATATTTGTCATGTCTGCAAAGCGGTAGACAAAGGTAATTTTATACTATGTGATGAGTGCTGCTTGATTTCTTATTGCAACTACAATCATAAAATGTTACACTATGAAGAACACGCGCATATTTGCAAAATTGTAGCACAGATTTTGAAAATAAAACCGCAAAATGACACGCGCAGATACGGCAGCTGGCAAATATGGATCGTAAACAGAAGAATTATTATGGAATCAGCCGAAGAGACTTTTGGCAGTCCAATAGAGATGTACGTGAAACAGATGATCATGTGGTCAAAAACATGTGTTATTTGTTATCAACAGGCCAAACTACGAGCTTGTCAAAAATGCTTTTCCGTTAATTTTTGCAATGAACACGCAGAAGCTTTTCGCAAGGAACATGATGGAAACACGTGCGAGCTATTGACGCTATTGCTGAATATAAATATCGAAACTATTTCTGGCATAATGACTGATATATCGTATGAATTTCTTTCGAGTGTAAAACGAGATACACGTGTAAACGAGATGCTCGAATTTTACATGAAATGTGTATTAATATCAAGAGACGACGTAAATTGTCTTATAAAGGATTATGTCTTGTCTGATTACCTTTCAGGACCATTGTCAATCTACTATGAATTCGAAAAGATATATGGCGATAAGAATTTTAATGTTTTACGTCAGCAATTAGTTGTTATTCATATTATAGCCGCAAACTCTGTGGATAGACATGGTTTACCGGCTTGGGAAGTTTTGTTACACCTTATACCGGAAATGCGTGAACTAAGAATTATAATGATAGGACCAGAATTACGGACGGAAAATTATGGTCATAATATTTGTAATGACTGCCAGAACAAAGGAAAAAAAATGAAATTTTATCCTATTTGTATGTTATACCATGATTATATACAAACGAGTAAAAGTCATCAGATACCAGATTTGATCGTAGGATTTGAAGCAAAACTTGATAAAACACAGACATGGTCCGAATCTATAAAAGTAATACGGAATTGTCTTTGTCCATTAATTTTAGGTGCTAAATGCCAAGAAGAAGTTGATAATGACATGCTTGCTATTGAACATGCCCTAAATGTAATTGTAGAACCTATTGTTAACAAAAATTATTTCGCTGCTTTTGCACCACACAAAGACTTAATGTCTAACATTATACGTTTTCGTAATCAATATTTAAGTACATACAAAAATTTAGTAGATTAGACAGTAATAATGATAATAATCTTGAACAAATGCTATCAATTCCCAGCTTTTCTAGATGCTAGGGCCAGTAGCTCATTGTAAAGAGGATATGAATTAAAATATTTGTTATTGTAAATTAATTATAAATATTTCTATTAATTAATTATAAATAAAGATTATACTCCCTTAATAATGACAGTTACATTGCTTTCAATGGAAAATTAAAAATTATAATTTAATTTTTCGTCGAGCATCTGTAAGATTTATTTATCGTAAGTGCTTCGAATATTAAAGGTCACAAGGAAGCATTTGAATATCAATTTTAAAGAATATATAACATTACGCTTCGCTGTACATTTCAGATCTTTTTGTTCGCGATATTCTTTTTGTTTTCGGGTATTCGATATTTGTTATATATCCCATTACAATTCGAGTCGTCAAGAATTTCTGAGAAGCGCAGAGATATTTGTAAACACTCGATTAGTATATCCTTCTAATGATGAAAATATTTAATGCACATATTAATGTACACATACACACACATCC